CTGCGAGGGAGCGTTCTTGGAGCTCAATGGCACTCTCGAGGTCATCAACAATACCGAGGCGTCTGAAGCGGTGTTTCAGCGAGAAAGATAGGTTGCATAATGCTTGAGCCCTGTCGGGGTGTTCGTCCGGAACGAGCTCAAGCGCCCTTCGACCCGCTTCAATAGATAGATCGAGATCTTCAAGCTTGCCCCGAGCTTCAAAGCGAGCATTCAGGCAGTGTCCCAGCCAGCTCAGCGTAGCAGCATTCGGTTCAGATGCCGTGTCCACGGCTTCTTGATAGAGATTGATGGCAGAGTGGAGACACGCGACGTCCTGAGATTCCTCGTAACGAGCATATGCATTGCGGGCGGCGCGAACTTTGCTCGGCTGCGGGTCATTGCGTGGCGGAGGATGTGCAGTCTGGAGCAGGCTGTCAGAAAGTCTGGCGAGTACAAATCATCATTCGATGGCTCACCTGGGAAAGCGGAGTTGATATATATGCTCCAGATCGATCATGCTGGCCCTCCATGCTGATGAATGTCTGCCTGGGTGGTCGTAGCTTCAGTATACGATGCTAGCACGCCTGAATGAAGCGTACCACTGACTCAGGGTTGAGGGGCAAGACGAAGGCGCTTAAAAGCTCGATTGGAAGTACGATGCTATGGTAGAAATATGGAAGCGGTTCAGTCGGAGGCCATCTGACCGTAGCATGCTGTGTGGGCAGTCGAGTACAGCCTCACATGCAGCATGCAAGCAGACTCATGACGTGAGAAGCCTGTCGCTTATCTGCGTATTTGAGCGGCCAACACTCGGTGGTGAGGATCACGATTGGACGAGCTATGCAGCTCGCGCCCAAGCACTCGCAGACGGGCTAGTCATTGTGGTCAAGGCGATATATTCAGTGCAGAGCGGCGGACCGCGGCATGACGGCGGGAGGAGACCGTCACGGCGGCGCGCTCCGAGCCTCCTCACGCGATGACCACCATCATGCTTGCCCTTCTTCGCTGAGCCTTCTTCATCAACCCCAAATGGCGACGAGCCTGGATCGATGGCTACCGCCGGCTCTACCTACTATCGGTCCTCACGAGACCAGCGGCTGTAGAGCATGAATACGGAGACGTAGAAAGGTGGTAGAGGATGTGTATCCGAGTAGGAAGACGGGTGGGCTAGAATTGTACGTGTACAACTCCCTGTCCCCGACGAGCGGTCAACTGATCAAATTGCCAGGCTAGAGTAAGATCTCCCCGCCAAACTCAACCATCGAATACACTTTCCTGCCCTACGCAGTACTTTCTCCAGGTCGACACGGATGCCCGATGCACTTAACCAAGGTCAAGCCGGTGTTTTGCGTGAGCCATCAAGGTCGTCAGAAGCCTCGACGCCCTGCCAGAACTCTTCCCTGGGAGGTCCTACTTCGCTCGTAGCGACGCAGCTGTTTGGGCTGTGCGCGCATCCAACGAGACGTCGTATAAGTCGAGCTCATGCGCGGTGGGTGCGTGAGAAATCAATACTCTGGTCGGGCGCGAAGAATTGTTACGCAAGGTGGGTCCCATATCTTAAGCACACATACATAAGCGGATAGCGCTCAACAGACGCCTTAGAACGACAAAGACAATCTATATACCGAAATGTACGAACGGTGCCCATCGAACGACGTCCGACTCCCCGACTTCTTCCCTCAGTCGCTTCGTCGCCTCATGCAGCGCATACGCCGCGCCCGTCTCTCCCTTCTCGAGCATCCCCAGTGCACGAAGCTCAAGCAGCTTCCTGTAGTACGTCTCGACGACCAACGGCGCGTCGTCGTCGCGTATGGACCACATTGTCGCGACAACGCCTTTGTACCCCACGGCGAGCATACCCGCTGCGAGGTGCATCGACTCTTCGGGGATCTTCTCATCACCGACGGCGGTCTGGCATGCGGAAAGGAACGCAAGTTCCGCGTTATCCGCCGTAGTCGCCATTAGGTCGGAAAGCGAAAGCGGGCCGTCGTACAATGCGAACGCGCTTTTTAACGGATCATTTACATCCTGCGAGCCATGGCAGGCGAGATGCAGCCAGGAGTACTCGCCGAGTACGTGTTTCACGGCGCTAATCGTCGCATGCTCTCCGTCAAGAGCCGTAGATGGGGCTTCTGAGGATTGGAAGACGTCGCGCAACCGCAGTCCCTCAACTGTCGTGCCCGGCAGTGGCGGCAAGCCGGGTGTATCAGGCTGCGTGACGACGAGGATATGCGGCGTTGCGCTGTGTTTCGCAAGGTCGTCGAGGCTACGCGTAAGCGCGGAGAGCGACGGCGTGTACGAGGACACCACAAGGTTGTACACGCGCGGCCCGGCATCATCCTCATAGATGCCCGCTGCGTGCAGAGGGAGTTGCGTGAGCGGTCCGATCGGACACCAAGTGATGTGCGGGAGTCGCTCGCGAGCCGCGTTCTATACAGTATGAATGTCAGCTATCCACGGAATGCATTCACATACTATGATCAATACGCACGATGACATCCATACCGAGTGCGCTCAGTACCGGACCCACGATCCATCTCCACAGGCGGTCCAGGATGCGGACGGGAGGAGAGCCGCTCGACGAGCGTGTAATTTGGGTTGCCAAACTGCGCTCGCGGACATGTTGCTGCTTGAGGTACAATAGCCATTGAGAGCGAAGCGCCTCTGCTTTGTCCAAAGAAAGCTCGGACAGGCTGAGTGCGGTGATCGTTCCTTCGGGAAGGATGATCAATGCATCGCATCGATCGCGGTCCACGTTGATAAAGACGACGGGGCCGCTGAAACATATTGATGAAGGCAGCAGTGCAGAGAGCTTCTTTGAGCGCATGAAGCTCTCGAAGCCAGGTAGAGAGCGGACCTCTGCAACGAGCTTCCCGTACTGGATAGCAGCCTTTCGATGGCGATCATCTGAGGGAGGAAGGTAAGCGCCTGCACCTGGAGCTGTAGTGTGGCTTTCAATTGACTCGAAGTCGTCGCTTTGAGATGGCACGGCGCTGATATAACTCTGTAATCGAACACGGGCGTCGCTGAGAGAACGCGCGAGATCGGGACGAACTTGTTCGAGATCATGAACAGGGCTGCGCAACGACAGTAGCTGCCCCCATATGAGTGCTCTGCCGGCATCAAGCCATTCGACGGCTTGTTTGACAGCGACAAGACCGACAGCAGCACATACAGCAAAACTGACAAGCCGACCCAGCTTTTGAGCCTATCAGTGGTTCGGGAAGCGACCCGATTGCCCCGAACGGTCCCGAGTTCGGCGCATTCGGCGCATTCGGGTCGTTGGCACTTTTGGGTAGTTTGATCAGGGCTCTGAGACCTAGACTCGGGTCGTTTGGCACGTCGGCACGATTCAGCAACTAAATTATTCCCTCGTCTATTACATCTCCTGCCGTCTACATGCAATATATTCATTCAAAAAAACTCCACAATATTCCCGTCGGACTCGTATCCGCCTTCGCCGTCCTCATCAGCCTCTGGATCCGCTTGATACTCGTATTCCTCTGCGCTATCGAGCGAGATTACGTCGGCATCACCGAGGTATCCATTTGCGCCTGCCTCGATCTCTGCGCTGTCCGAGCGTGGGCTGCCCGAGTCGCTGGACGATGACCCATATCCACCGAGCTAGGAAATGATTCAATGAGGGGCAGAAGCAGACGAAAAGGATGCACGCACGTATTGAGAAAATGCCGTCGCGGATTCGACAGCCATGGGTTCCGGGGTAGCTGCTGTACACTATATCAGCTACACGTCTGAGTACGAAAACGAAGGACTGTACAGTCGTGGTAAATCTCCGATGGAAGATCGATGGAAGAGCCGGGAGAGCTGAGGGATGTGAGATCATTGTGGCAAGCTAGTAACGTAGTAGAACAGACCTTATGTAGACAGTCGCGTGCACGGCTGGGCTCGCATCTCGAGTCGTAATGTCCTCCCCATCACTTCCGGGGTCCTGGACACGACGCGCCGGAGTACTCGCGGCATGATCACGTTGATGGGTGGAGGGCATGAAAGGCTGGCCACGGAGTCCGGGCGTGGCATAGATATCCAGATGAGCGGGTCCGAGCCCGGGGAAAGTAGGCTCTGGCGACGGGGACCACTCATGGGCATTGACACGAGGGTCACTCGAACGTTGGCGGGAAGATGACGTCGCGGGTTGCCGGCTTTCGGGAGGAGGACTGCTAAAGGCAAAGACATTGTCGTCGCAGTCATACTCATCCTCGGAAGCTTGAGGATTTGGCGGCTGTATGCCGGCCCATGCATAGACGGCCGAGTAGATAGCGCGAACGCGACTCGGATCAGCCGCGAGGCGCCTGAATATACCTTGTTCATTGACGTCGGCGTGATCCTGGGTGATTTGCTTGTACTTGGCGTCGCATTCGTCCACCTTGAATGGTAGTTGACCGGCGTCTGTGCCCTTGAACCACGATTTGAAGGCCAGGTAGACCTGTGCGAAGACACTGTCAGCTGGTACGTGCGAGGGACACCATACTACATACAGCAAGGTATGCCATCACCAAAGGACCGATTGGTTCTTCTTCCGGTTGGAAGATCGAGCCCTTCGTGGACTTGATATACACACTGAGCGTACCCAGTATGTATGACGTCTTGCATAGTCCAGATGGGCTCTGAGAAGGTGTGCATCAGTGTCAGTCGTAAGAAACGGGAGGCTGCACAATCTTACACGGATGCCATTCTCAGGGTCGGCAGGAACCTCCCAGAAAGCAAAGGAGCGTGTACCGCTTTGAACAGCTCGACGCGCGAAGGCAGCACGCTCGCTTGCGGGCACCGTCAGCATAACTGCGTTGACAAGGTCCTTTGCTTTCGACCCGTATTTCCTGCGCTCATTGACGACTCGAGCACGCAACTGAGATCGCGACATCAGAAAACTAGACGGGAAATACACATCTAGGACATACGGCGCCGTAGAGGACATGCGATTTGTCGGCTTCCCACGAGTTGCCGGGGACAAGTACGTCGAGGTATTCCTTTATAGCATTGGCGAATAGGAGGTCGGACTGGCCGTCGTCGAGCTTGAATATCTGCATGGACGCGTAGAACTGGTGTACCATCGAGGGCGCCAGCCCTGAATCGTAGACGGCCATGTACTCGCGCGGCGCATCCTTGATGGCCCGGCTTGGGCGGCCACTCGCCGTGCGCGGTCCGGGCTTCTTCGCGCGCCCACCGCGCTTCGGACGGGCGACCTGGTTGTCCTTGGCCAGCGCGTCCTTGGTGTCCTGTGATTCGCTCTTGAAAGCAACCATCTATATATGTTATGAGCACGATGAACTGCTATCAGGTGCACGACACAACAACGTACGTTGTACTTCTTCTTTGCCGCGTCACCGTCTTCTCTGCCCGTGAATAAGTCTTCCTCCGTCAATCCCTGTTCGGCATTGCCATCCCTGCTCGCGCGCGTCGTGCCGCGTCTACCGGTACCGCGAGCCCTGTGATTGACAGGGGAGTTGCGAGCGGATGGCGCGCTTGTAATGCTCTGCCAGTCGGCACGCACTCCGCCACCTGCAGGCACAGAATGCAGATCTGGTGCAGAAGAGCGTGGCTGCTTGGATGGGGCACGAGAGCCACGGGTTGACGGGGTAGGTAAGGGCGTGCGCGAGACAGGCTGTGGCCGTTGAGATGCAGGCGAGGCGATAGGCTGACTCAGACGCCCGCGCGCCCCAATCTGCCCATCAGGTTTCGAAGAAGCAGACGTGGGAGCCGGCGGTAGACCGTGTCTATTTGAGCGAGACGCGTATAAGTACGAGGACGTCTCGAGCGGGGTAGATGCTTACCGGGCGCGTTCCTGCCGGTCCTCCTGATCACGGTCTCGTTCCAAAGCAATCTGGCCTCGCACACCAGCAACGCGTTCAGCCGTCTTTTCTGCCGGTGTCGGACCAGCAGTCTGGGCATAAGATGGTAAGCTGACTCTGATTGGAACTCGTCAAGTATACTGTTTGTCGTACCTTTATTTTCTCGAGTGGCGGCGCGACACGCTTTTCCGCCTCCTTCTTACGGGATTCGGCTTTGTCGTTCAGGAGCCGAGCAACCTGCGTGGCAGCCGATGAGGACTGTCCGGTCTGAGAACCCGACGTCTTTGCAGCCCCTGCAAAGAGGTTGTCAGTGATTGATGGTGCATGACGAGGCAGACGATTATCCTAACCTTTGGTCTGCGTCTTGCGAGCATTGTCCACGGTGACAGCTCCAGGCTCCGAAGAAGACTTGTCTTTCTCGGGACCTGCTGCTTTGCGACGCTTTTGAGAGGGAGCAGACTCCGTCGGTGTAGGCGGCTCGTGAGCGGGTGTCGCAGCCTTGGTACGGGTACTACGGGTGCGAAGTCTCGAGCTTACACTGTTCTCTTCGGGTGGCCGCTCGATGTCTATGTTCCCCGGCCGGCCTGCGGGCGAGGTTGCCGTCGCTTTGGGAGGCATGGCTGGATGGACGGAGGCAACACGTAGAGACGCAGTTTGACGACTCTTTCCGCTGGGCGTGACTCAGCTCGTGAGCTTCCGGCGTGTGCCGGTTGCCGACGCGCGTTGTACGACTTGTCAGTTTCGGTTTTCTTATCCGAAACCGTCATGGCTCGCTATTGCTTCGCATGTGAACGCTCGTTTCCTACTTCTCGTGCAGTGGCTGCACACGTTGCGAAATATCATCGTCATCCACGGCGCGAACATGTTGATACTACAAAGATTGAGAACGACTTCCTTACCGGTATGTTTTCTCGCCATGCATCTCACAAGCAATATACTCACACATGCTACAGCTCAGCCATGCAACTCCGCTGGCATTGACCTACCCGATGGATCCCCTCCTCCGCCTCGTGACATGTCTCAGACTTGGGAGCAATTCGAGGACCGTCCGACTTTCGAGTTTGCGGAGCTTGTTATCGAGAAGATGCAGGCGTCCAAGGGAGACATCAATGCCCTTCTCGAGAAGCTCGCGGCAAAGGCGAAGCTCCACCATTCGGACGACCCGCCAATCTATCCCAACTACGATGCCATCCTCAGAGACGTAGATGAGATTAAGCTGGGTGTTGCTGAATGGGATACGTGGAGCTTTGGCTGGGATGGGGCTGTCGATGCAAACTCCAAGCCCTGGAAGCATAAGCGCTGGTTTGTGCATGCACGCAATCCCCGCGAGCTCTTTCAGTCCCAGCTCTCGAATCCTGACTTTGCGAAGGGGTTCGACTCCGTCCCCTTTGCCGAGTTCAAACCCGACGGCAAAAGGCGTTATCAGAACTTCATGAGCGGCATGTGGGCGAACGAGGAAGCTGTACGTGCACCACTTCGCTCAACATATTGACGACTGACATCTATTCTCAGGAGCTTATTCGCAAGACGTGTCCCACTGCGCGCGGCGCGATGCTCTCGCCCATCATCCTCGGAGCGGACAAGACCACGGTGTCCGTTGCAACTGGCGATACCGAATTCCATCCCGTCTACGGTTCGCTCGGCAACTTCCATAACGATCTGCGGCGCGGTCACGGTGAAGCAGTCGGTGTCATTGCCTTCCTAGCTATTCCAAAGGGTGAGGCTGTCTATTATGCTCACGTATCCCCTCCCGATCTTACTGATCTCTTACGTGCAGGCTCAAAGGAGGATAACGAAGATGCCGAGTTTCGATTATTCAAGAAGCAGGCATATCACGGCTCCCTCAAGCATATTCTCGACCCGTTGCGGGATGCCATGTCGACGCCAGTGGTCATGCGCTGTCCCGATGGTCATTTCCGCCGTGTCATCTTCTCCATCGGGCCATTCATGGCCGATTACCCTGAACAGGTCTATCTGGCTGCGATTGTCCAGGACTGGTGCCCTAAGTACGTCTAATGCACTCACAACGAAATCTGCATGCAATGTCTCATCTCTTCGTTCTAGGTGTCTCATCATGCCTGATCATTTACACGACGAAGGCGATCCGCGTTTCCGTGAACTCGACGAGGTTTTGAGAGCGGGGTATCCATCGGCCAACCTCTGGGACGCATTCGGTATCGCCGACGGTGTCAAGGTATGTGACGCCGGCGTGTATGTGGAGGTTTCATCAGTCTGATCCTATCGTAGCCTTTCACGGAGCACTTTCCGCGCGCCGACATCCACGAGCTTCTCTCGCCCGATCTGCTACATCAGTTAATCAAAGGGACTTTCAAAGATCACCTCTTTGAGTGGGTCCTTGATTACTTCAACGACCGCGAACGGTTCTCGGCGCGTCAAGCAAAGAAGAAGATCGCGGAGCTTGACAGGCGGTACGCCGACCAACTTCCCGCTACTATCGGCGCCGGCTTATCTAACCTGGCAGCTTACGTGCAATACCCACATTCCCTGGGCTACGCCGCTTCAAGGATGGGCGGAACTTCAAACAATGGACGGGCGACGATTCTAAAGCACTCATGAAGGTATCTGTGCTCAGTGTACGTCAGGAGATATACGAGGCTCACTCTTGCCCATCATTAGATTGTACTACCCGCCCTCCGTGGTCTGATCCCTGATCGCATTGTTCAGTGTATGGCGACATTCCTGGACTTTTGCTATCTCGCGCGTCGCTCCAATCACGACGAGGATTCGCTCGAGCTGATGGATGAGACCCTCGCGCGCTTTCAAGATCTTCGCCGTGTGTTCTTGGACTTGGGCATCCGCGACAACTTCAACCTTCCGCGACAACACGCCCTCGTCCACTATGTCCGTTCCATACGGCTTTTCGGTTCCCCCAACGGACTCTGCACATCCATAACCGAGTCCAAGCACATCAAGATGGTCAAGGAGCCATGGCGACGTTCAAGCCGTTTCAATGCTCTTCCCGAGATCCTCAAGTGGATTGACAGGCTCGGCAAGATCGCGGCTTTCCGGGCAGATCGTGGGCGACGCGGCATGTTCGACGGCGATGTCCTCTACGACTCGCGCCGACTCGCTGCTGCCGCCGATGCCGATGCAGACGAGGCTGGCCGTGAGCGTAGAACGAATGCCCGCCTGCACCGCTTCACGCGTGCTGAGCGGGACGCGCACGAGGGTCGGCACGATAATGATGTCCTCGCGGTTTATGATGACGAGGATCAGCCATCCGTCAGACTGGCAGCTAAACCTCGTGCGTGTTAATCTCGCCTCGCGCGGCCGTGTATCCAGCACACTGATACGATCTCCACAGACTGCTCGCGTGAAATCGAACTATTACCCGTACGGGATCGCATCAAGGACGCGCTACCAGAGCTCATTAGTCGGTTCTTGTTCGACCAGCTCTACGCCGACGACTTCTACATCACTGGCGAGGAGGCCGACCTCGAAGATTGCCCTGAGTTCGAGGGCAATGTTGGTCTATATCGCAGTGCACGCGCGACGTTCTATGCACCGAGCGAGCTCTGCGGGCCCGAGGGCATGCATTCCGAGGTGATTCGGAGCAATCCCTCGTGGTACGGGCAATACGCGCGCTACGACACGGTCTTGATCCAGAACGATGATGATGATGCAGTAATGGGCGGGATGCTAGTCGGCCGTGTTCTGGCGTTCGTGGGCTTCACCCATGAGCGTATCCGGTACTCTGCTGCTGTTGTGGAATGGTTCGAGCCGGTGGGGGACGCGCCCGACCCTATCACCGGCATGTGGATATTACGCCCACGAGTTCGAGGAGGGGAGCGCGAGATTGGCCTCGTGCATACTGATTGCATAGTTCGCGCTTGCCAGGTAATTGGTGTATACGGTAGGGAAAAGGTCCCCGATACACTACATCATTCTCAGGTACACGATGCTTTCGACCGCTTCTATTTCAATAAGTACTCCGATTACCATACACACGAGTGCTACCCTGTATAGAGAATCACTTTATTCCTGCCCCAATCCGAATTTTCGCAGGTGTTTCCTTGAGTGTGCAGACGTCCCGAACGCCCCGAACGTGCAGAATGCATTTCGGAGTGCTGATGCTGGATTTCTCTCGGGACTTCGGCACGTTTCGGGGCTTTCGGCGCGATTGGGTCGCTTCCCAAACTACTGATGTGATCACTCAGCTTCCTCCAGGCGACGGCTCATACTGTGTCCAAGCCATACAACCTCGGGGATGACGTCAAGAACGCGTGAGTGTGCGGTGATCAGATCTTCAGGTGTACTGAACTCCGGATTCTGGCGTAAGAAGTGTACGGCGTATTGCGCTGTTTGAAGGCGGGCTGGCGGCGCAAGCAACGAATGCGAGCTGGCAGCCATGTAACATGACAGGGATTCGGCAAAATTGTCCACTGTTCTCTCTCGACGAAAGTGATCCATTAGAGATAACGCCAAGTTGTGCAGGCGAATAGCCTTGTTGGGGTGATCGTCCGCAGTGAGCCTCACCGCTCGCTTCTGCTCCGCGATGGCGTTCTTGAGATCTTCAAGCTCTGCACCGCGTTCAAACCGAAGCCAGTATAAGGAGCCGAGATTGTCAAGCGTCCCTGGCAGGTTGGGATGCCCATCCGGAGTCAGCGCAACCGCGCGACGTTGTATTGTTATAGCGTGCTCGAGGTCCTCCGTCGTTCCAAGATGTTGGAAGCGACGCCTCAAGGACAACCCGAGGTTGCTCAACCAGTTGACCATATTGGGATGGTCATCAGGAGTCAACTCGGTTGCACGACGTTGACTTGCGATCGCGCGCTCGAGATCCTCGACTTCCCCGGAACGATCAAATCGAAGCCAGTGCAAAGAACCGAGGTTGTCGAACATCGCTGGCAGGTCGAGATGGCCATCCGGTGCGAGTTCCATTGTGCGATGTTGTACTGTGATGGCGCGGACCAGGTCATTGGGGTCGCCGAGACGCTCGAAACGACGGCGGAAATACGTGCCGAGGTTATTCAGATGGACGGCTTTATCGGGCTGATCGTCCGAAGTGAGTGAGTTCGCGCGATCTTGACCCGCAACGGCGCTCTCGAGATCCTCAAGCTCTCCGAGGCGCTCAAAACGAAGCCACAGCAAGGAGCTGAGAGCGCAAAGTCTCCCTGGCAGGTTGCAATGACCACCCGGAGTAAGTTCGACTACACGGCGTTGTATCGTGATGGCACGCTCGAGGTCGGCAGGGTCATCGAGGCGCTCGAAGCGACTGCGCAGGGACGCCGCCAAGTTGTGCAGCCGTGTCGCTTTGCTGGGATGATTGTCTGGAGTCAACTCAGTGGAACGATGTTGACCTACAATAGCGCGCTCGAGATCTTCGACCTCTCCGAACCGACTGAAACGGAGCCAATATGAAGAGCCGAGGCTGTCGAGATGCCCGGGCAGGTCGGGATGGTCGAGTGGAAGAAGCTCGACTGCGTGTTCTTGCATTTCAACGGCGCTTTTGAGGTCGTCGACTGCACCGAGATGTTCGTAGCGTATCTGCAATGAAATGCTAAGGTTGTGCATTCGCAAGGCTCTTTCAGTGAAGTCATCTGGTGGAGCAAGCTGAAGGGCCCTTTGCTGCATCGCAATGGCCCGTTGAAGTTGGTCAAGTTCACCTCGAGTCATATATGACAACTGAAAACAGTGACCTAGCTCGCCAAGTAGATATGCGTCAGGTTCAAGTGTTGCGTCTGTGGCCCGTTGAAATGATGTGATGGCGGCTTCAAGGTGGACTATGTCCCACGTTTCGTTGTAGGCGACCTGCGCCCGCCGGGCAGCGTCTACCTCATCGAGGACCGAGCTTCGCGCGGTGTACTGAGACCATGTGTCGGAAGAACCCTAGCGCTCGTGAGTGAACCTGGCAAGACCAGAAGGATCCACCAGCCATTGCTTAGCTCACCTCGATGGGCCCAACGGCTCGTTCTTCGATACCAATACCAACACCTTCAGCCATGATCGGACAGATAGCGCACTGCAGACAATCGTCAGTCTCGCAGGGGTGGTGGTGAGAGGGAAGCAGACTCACAGAAGTCTGCTCAAGTACATGCATTGGACAGAGAGATATCCGCTCGAACACTCAATTACATAAGAAGCTAGATGTGAGGTGAGATGACAAGTTTAAACTCTGAAGCACTGGTGCTGTGCTGTGCGCTCAAGAGGATCGCACGTCGGTGCGCGCCGTACAGCCTCACAGGTGGCGATGCAATCAGGCGACGGTCATGATACGATCAGTAGCAGTCTTTCAAGCTGACTAAGACCGCTTGTGTAGTTGTGGCGATGAAACGAGACTCTGAGAGATAGGGCTGCAGTTTATGTTCAATCTGCCCGCATATGGACAAGTAGAATCTGTACATCCATGAATCAGAAGAAGAACTTGGCGAGAGCGACTTGAACAAATACGCACCGAGTATGATGTCGGCTAGCGCATGTATCTTATCTTTGATCACTTTCTAAGCTTTGCACCCTAAGAGATGACGAACCGGCCCGGGCAATTAGTCGCATCATGAGAGAGCTGTGGGCGCTGTGTCGCTGTACAGCGCAATCGCCGGGCGTCTGCGTCGCCAGAAGAGCGGTCCGTGTTAGAGGGCGCGCGGATCCCAAGGCATACCAAGAAATGACGCCCGCAAAGTTGGCGCAATGCATGCACAGGAGATGCATGCGTCTCTAGTCTTCACGGTATGAATCACATACATATATGGCATGATGGTGGCGGGAGGCGACGAGCTCGCGACGCGTCTTCGGGCCGCGCCACCGCAATTGGCGCTCTTACCTTGTTCGAACCACGACGAGGACGAGCCAGCGGCCATTCCGGCCTCTGCCTCTCCGCCTCCCTCTTGCTACGTCCAACACGCTGGCGATCCTTTAATTTAACTGGCCTGCCAATGCAGTCTTCGGAAGGACCATGCCCACCTACTCTCGCGCGCGCTGATGTGACAAGATCCCCGGCCAAGATAACTCCACCCGAGCGGGCGACATGAGATGCCGTATCTATGTATTGCTCAGTGGCGCTCTCACGGACGGATCACCGAGATACCTATGCTCAAGGAGCCGAGAGGGGAGGAATGTGAAGTCAGCATCGGGGTATAGGTGGATGGGCCGGTAGTGTATACACATCACGTACGTGGTCCTTTGGCCTTGACCTGCTTCATATGCTGACAGTACCCTAGAATCGACCTCATAAAGATACGCTGTAGCTGCTAAGCCATGCAATCCTATCCCTTTTGTCTGAGCTGCTCATGGGTGATACATTACTCCACTCGCTCGCGCTCAACGCTTGTACGCTCAATGTGTCCATTACGTGTCGATATGAGCATTCTTGAACTCTGAAATCTCATTGAAGTCCATTCCTAACCTGATTTGCACATGAATCCCTACAGTCTACAGACTCATACGACAGAAAGTGCAAACAATATCCGATCACCTGGACAGGATCCCTCAAACACCAAAGTGCACGAACGGCGCCCACCGTAAAACATTCTTCTCCCCGATCTTCTCCCTCAACATCTTCGCGGCCTCATGAAGTGCGTAGGCCGCACCAGTCTCGCTGGCGTCAAGCGTTCCGGACGCGCGAAGCTCGAGAAGCTTCGTGTAATACGCCTCGACGACGAGCGGCGCGTCGTCATCCCGGATCGACCACATCGTCGCGATGACGCCTTTGAAGCCGACAGCGAGCATCCCCGCCGCCAGGTGCATCGACTCCTCGGGGATCTTCTCGTCGCCCACGGCTGTTTGACACGCGGAGAGGAAGGCGAGCTCGGCGTCGTCCGCCGTCGTGTTCATCAGGTCGAGCAGGGACAGTGGACCATCTTGGAGAGCGAATGCGCTCTTGAGCGGGTCGGTGATGTCCTGCGATCCGTGGCAGGCGAGGTGCAACCATGGTCGCTGACTCAACGCCTCTTTCACTGTGACAGTGGTTGCCGCCTTCCCATCCAAGACGGAGACGACTTCCGGCCTATTAGCAAAGACGTTGCGCAGCCGCTCCCCCTCGAGCGTGGTACCGGGCAGAGACCGCAACCCCGGCGTCTCGGGCTGTGTGACCACTATGATACCCGACGGCGACGAAGCATGCTGTTGTGCGAGAGCACTGATGCTGCGCGTGAGTGTCGAAAGCGACAGGGTGTAGGAAGACACCACGAAGTCGTACGCGTGTGGCCCGAACTCTTCGTCATATATACCCGCGGCGTGAATCGGTAACTGAGTTAACGGTCCAGACGGGCACCAAGTGATGTGTGGGAGACGTCCCTCCTTCGGCTATCAATGAGATGTCAGGCAAGCAACTTCTTGCAGTGATGATATTTCGGTTACTGACCAGGTCTAAGATCTCCAGTGCAGATAAGATGGGTTGTACAATCCACCTCCATAGACAGCCCAGTATGCGAATGGCCGCCCCGGTCCCATCGGAGCTACGATTCACACAAGTGGCCATGCGCTGGCGTACGTCACGTTGTTGAAGATAGGCTACCCATTGAGTCCGTATCCTCTCTGCTTTATCGAGGGAAAGGTTGGGCAGAGGAACAGGACGTATGGTCCTATCCGGTAAGAGCACCAAAGCGTCACAGCGGGAACGATCGATGTTCAAGAACACGACGGGTCCACGGAGATACGCGCAGATTGGAAGAAGAGTCGACAGTTTAGGAGGACGCATGAAGCGTTCTAATCCGGGATGATGACGGATCTCTGCAATGAGCCTGCCGTACTTGATAGCCAAGCCGCGATGGTGATCCGCCTCTGAATCGCCATGGCTCTCGTGTACACGAACACCATGCTTATGAGACAAAAAATGAGTAGAACGCTGCAGCTGTTTGTGCACGTCTTCGAGAGATCGCGCGAGATCCGGCAGGATCTGTTGCAGCTCGTGAAGAGGACTATGCAACGACATCGTCTGCGTCCATATCACCGTTCTTCCTGCGTCCATCCATTCCACGGCTTTTACCAAAGCATCGACTCTGACGGCAGCACACACGGCAGAGCTGACAAGTTGGCCGAGCTTCCGAGACTCCTCCAGGCGACGTTGCATGCTGTATCCGAGCCAAACGACCTCGGTGAGAACATCGAGAACACGAGAGTGGGCGAGTAATAGCATCTCGGCTGTGCTGAACCCAGGGTTATTATCGAGGAAAATTACCACATACTTGGCTGTTACAAGACGCGAGTTCGGTGAGTCCAACGGCTGAGAGGCAGCTTCCGTGTAACAGGAGAGTGCTTCTGTGAAATGTTCCATGGTCCGATCTTGGCGAAAGTACTCATCCAGAGACACCGCCAAATTGCGCAGCAGGGTAGCTTTGAGGGGATGGCCATCCACAGCAAGCTTCACTGCTTGTTTCCGCTCCGAAATGGCACCTTCAATGTCTTTGAGGTCCCCGAAGTGTCGAAACCGAAGTAGTCGCAGATAGCCAAGGCCGTCGAGCCGATTTGGCAGTTCGGGATGGTCACTCGGGGTAAGCTCGACAACGCGGCGTTGCATCGTGATAGCCTGCTCGAGGTCGGCGGGGTCGTCGAGACGCTCAAAGCGACTGCGTAAGGACGATGCGAGGTTGTGCAGCCATGTAGCTTTGTTGGGATGATCATCAGGAGTCAGCTCGTTTGCACGCTGTTCATTCGAAATGGCGCTCTCGATATCTTCGAGCTCCCCGAAACGTTCGAAACGAAGCCACTGCAAAGAGCCGAGGTCGCCGAGTCGATTTGCCAGGTCGGGATGGTCATTCGGGGTAAGCTCGATTGCGCGGTATTGTGTCTTGATAGCCCGCTCGAGGTCGGCAAGGTCGTCGAGACGCTCGAATCGACTGCGTAAGGACCATGCGAGGTTGTGCAGCCGCTTCGCTTTGTCGGGATGATCATCACGGGTCAGCTCGTTTGCACGCTCTTCATTCGAGATGGCGCTCTCGACATCTTCGAGCTCTCCGAAACGTCTGAAACGCAGCCACTGCAAAGAGCCGAGGTTATCGAGGTGAATTGACAGGTCGGGATGGCCGTTCGGAGCAAGTTTGACTGCGCGGCGTTGCGTCGTGATAGCCCGCTCGAGGTCGGCGGGGTCGTCGAGGCGCTCGAAGCGTCCGCGCAAGGACTGTGCGAGGTTGTGCAGCCCGGTGGCTTTGTCGGGATGATCATCTGGAGTCAGCTCGTTTGCACGCTGTGAATTCAAGATGGCGCTCTCGAGATCTTCCAGCTCTCCGAAACGCCGGAAACGTAGATCCTGGAGGTGCCCCAAGTCGTCAAGCCTCGCTGGCAGGTAGGGATCGTCATCCGGAGTAAGGTCGACTGCACGCAGTTGCATTTCGATGGCGCTTGCGAGGTCGTCACTCGAGCCAAGGGATTCGACGCGTCTTTGCAATGAGACGCTGAGATTGTGCAGATGCAAAGCCCTGTCGGGGTGACCGTCTGGGACGAGTTGCAGGGCGCTTTGCTTTGCCGCGATGGCTCGCTGGAGGTCGTCAAGGTTCCCTCGAGCCTCGTAATATAGATCTAGACAGTGCCCTAGCTCGCCTAGCAGATACGCGTCTGGTTCGGGGGCGTTGTTCACCGCTTGTTGTAATAGCGTTATGGCGGTTTTCAGCTGGTCCACGTTCCACGTCTTCTTGTAAGAAGCGTACGCTTGCTCGGCCGCGGCCACCACATTCGGCTTTGAGCTTCCCGGGGATTGAGATCGTGCGTCCGACAGCACCTGATGTTCGCCAGTTAAATTGGCCAGAGCAGGAAAACATCCCGGCCATAGGCACTCACCTCCGAAGTCCCGGCGACGTGACCATCGGTCGTGCTGGATGCGTCATGCATCGTACGGAAAGCAATCTACAACAGGGGGTCGTAAGTCGTAGTACGGCGACATCGATGGAGGGCAGGGGACTCACAGTGAGCGCGCGGATGTGGGTACGGGAGGGGAAAGGTGAGCTATGCAACGAATTCCTCAGGAGGCTGCATATATGAGGTGCTGGTGAGAGTACTAGGACACCGTTAGTGGATTGTGTGCGCGAGGGTTTCAGCGTGCTAGTACAGCCTCACAAGCGACTGCAGAACAAAGCCATACGAACGTATGGCTGACTCTCGCAAGCCTCAAAAGGCGTATACGATCTCGGCGACCGATGACAATTGGGAAGGTCCACATGGTAGGAATATATTGCACGACTTGGAAGTACAGCGCAGAAAATAGGCTGGCCCGTAAAAGCGGGCTGTGTACCAACAGACAACTAAATCGAGGCGGGTAGGCGGTGCACCGAGACCGTTCGCTCCTCTCGATGTCACCTTCCCATCCGAACGTTTCGAGTCTCCGCGTGATCCTGGCGCCGCCAACTACCTCGGTGCGTCGACGAGGAGAGACGTAGTCGCGGCGGACACTCTACGGGACCCGAGTGCGACGACGGTCGTAGATAGACGCGTAGCACAGCCTGCGAATCTTGCGGCAGAGGGCTTCTGGGACCTGGTAGGCCTTGAGCGCTCGAACAGAGTTTGCAACCGATATGAGGTTTGGCACCTATCCGTCGCAGATAAGGTGCTGTAGGCCGAGCAGGTACGATGAAAAGACGCGCGGGCCAAGCGCGGCGGTGGTACATAGGATACAAAGACGCCTCGAGTCTGTGTTTATATTAGTACCCGAGATGGGATGAGTATTCTGGCGGTATGCGCACCTCTTTGCCTACTCGGTAGTCCATGCACCCCGTCGAATGAGCGCAGGATATTCGACCGCTTCTCCCACAGATAGTCCTGCCATAGGTCTCTCAAAGACCACCGAATGATACACAATCCAAGTGGCTATCATGGTGGTACTAGCTGTGACCCGTGCGTTGCACGGGGCCCGATCCGATCCTACTCGTTACTATGAGCTTTTCCAAGCCCATGCAAGGTGGATATTAGGAACACACCTGTTAAGTCTGTCCTGTTCGAGATACGGATACTGTTATCGCGCGTTCGCCTCGGGCTCGCTGCGCTCACCCTCGGCTCACGCGCGGGGGATCCTGATTCAGGTCAATGAGCCCAGAGCTATATCCAGACTGTACACCATCACTGACCTCTCCGTGGCGGGCGTCCGTGAAGGCTCATGTAAAGCTTTGAAGCCCGATGAATATTTGAGAGCAGTCTTGAAAGCATCATACAACTTTCTACCGTTACTCTCGCGCGTTCGCCTCGGGCTCGCTGCGCTCGCCCTCGGTTCACGCACGGGGGATCCTGACTCAGGTCAATGAACCGAGGCCATATTCCAACTGTATTACACTGTCGATGACCTCTCCGTGGTGGGAGTCTGTAGATGTACCGTGTACCGTCCTAAACCTGGATCCGTTTACTCGCCTCACTGCTGCCACGGTGAGGAGACGGTGAATGCCCAGGTCGACGACGCGTCGGCGGTTCGAACCCGCGCCATGCTCAGCCACGTGTCGCGGCGCCGTCTGTCGTCTCAGCCAATCAGAAGGCCTGGTCGGACACCCAGCTTCTTTATTATATAGGATTTGCCAACTGTTGCGCGACGCGACGCGTCCGATCCGAGTTGCGGACGGCCGACAGCGGCCGACTGCTCTTTGCTTTCGGACCACGATGAGCTCGAGGACGGACTGCCTCATGGGTCTCCTTTCTCACAAGTGCATCCCCGCATCTCGATACTTTGGCTAAGGATGGAAGGAAATTGGCTCGGATGTCAATGTCGTACTTAGCATAAGTAAAGGCCATTGCTGCGGGCCGGTTGTACTGTCGTACCTACCTCAGGTACATAATCTTTCCTCACGGGTCTGATTCATTCACTGACATTGCTGTAGAATCACTTGTACATATATATATCATACCTCTCAATTTTCTGAGATAATATCGAGCGTAAACACACATGGCCTTTCCCGCTTGGAGCATCAAACCCGTTCACTCCTTCAACGTTCAACGCGCAAATACAGATGGCTACACTGAATACTACCTTGACAAGATCATACGGATGTGATACAAGGTAGGTACGAAGCTTTAGACTTCAATACAGCCGAAAGCGCAAACGTCTTCCCTCCTCAAACGCCGAAATGCACAAACAGCGTCCACCGCACGACGTTCGTCTCCCCACCTCTTCCCTCAACACCCTCGCCGTATCGTGGATAGCGTACACCGCGCCCGCCCCGGCTTTCCCCAGCCCACCCAATGCACGAAGTTCGAGAGTACGCCTCGACTAGCGGCCCGTCGTCTTCTCGGATCGACCACATCGTTGCGACGACACCCTCGTATCGCAGCGGGGATAATCACCATACGAATACGAGGGAGGTACATAGACTCGTCCTGGATCTTCTCGCCATCGGCAGCGGTATGGCATGCAGATCACAATGCGACTTTTGCGCGAACTGAACGTCGGCATCGGGCCGTCGTGTAGCGTCAAGGCGCTTTCCAATGGGTTCTCCCGATCTTGAGAGTTGTGGTACACCATATGCAGTCAGTGATGCTCGTATAGGACATGTCGTACGACGCCAGCCGTCGAGTGAGGACGAGTCGATGTGAAGCACGAAGGGCGCCTCGCGTAGTCGTAGCCGTAGGCTCTCGGCTGTTGCCCCTGGCAGGGCGGACAAGTTGGACAAGGACGGCGTGTACGAAGATACGACTTTGTCGTAGAAGTAGGACCTGGGGGCTTGGTGTGGGCCCTCGCTGCCTGTAGTAGCAGTTGTACAAGCGCGCTGTAGAACGATTAGCAATGGGTGGCAGACTTCTACCGGATAACCCGGGGCAGGGAGCACTAGATTCGCACCTCATACTAGTACACTTCCGACATGAGGCCGGCGGGCGGTGCATCCACACACCCCTCTACTCTCAATGCTCTCTCGCCTCATGTTTGTCCATCCTCCTGTACTGCCCTGACGTCTATGTGAACGTGGATCGCCATGAGGAGCACATTTGGGCGAGACCCGAGTAACATCGCGGTCGTGAATTGACGCGTAGCACAGCCTGTGGCCTTAGGGTTCGTTCGCGAGCGGTAGCGCACCGGCTTAGACTTCATGCTCGATCCGTGGCCGGCACTACGGTATTTGCCATGACCCGGCATCGAAACTCGAGTGAGGAGGCGCGCGGGCTAGGTGCGAGGTGTGAAACCTGAGAGTTGATTGGTACCAGTACCCGACATGAAATGCGCTAGAGCTGGAGCTGAACACGCACCTCTTTCCTCACGCAATCAATCATCGCCGATGTAATTCCTGGTGCGTCTTCAGGTCAAGCCGCTCGCGTACGTGAGCATAATGCGTATTCGGACGTGTCTGTCATATTCTATTAGGAAAAGAGATCGATGGGGTGCAGAACCGCGTACCCAGTATGGTGCCGTAGCCAGAGACAGTCCTGCTGTAAAGGAAGAGCGCACTGTCAGTCAGTGATCGCAAACGGCCTCTGCGAGAGTCTCGGGACGCGAGCAGTTCATTATAAATATATTGCATTATCGTGATGGTGGCGAGAGACAACTATGACGCGCACTCGCCTTCACCCCGGCGCGTCTTGGATGCGGCAGCCTTTACGCTTGACTCCCTTCCTTCTACCTCGACCACCACGACAATCCAACTCCTGCATATTGCGAATAATAATTTGATGGCGACACAAATCCTAACGTCTTCAATTTCCTACCCGTTCTCGACGTTCACGACCAGATCCTCGAACACCCACGTACCTTGCGATATTACTCGTCCCGTTCTGGGTGCTGAAAATAGCTGATCCCGGCAAGAGACTTTTCAAGATGGATCTACACCAGCTTCCGTTTGGCGGTGCGGTACGCGTCGGAGGACGGCGTTCAGGTCCGTCAGCGTCTCGACTGCCGAGACGAATCGTGTGCTGACCTCGCCGCAGTGACCGCTCGTGAAACGGCGAATGCAGCCGCCGCCTCATCTTCATCGTTCTGATTACCTGGAGCAGCCTTTCCACTCGTATCTGCACCTTCGCTCCACCGCTAGAAAGCTCGGCCGCACAACACGGGTATCGCCATCTACATCCCCACCCGGTCACCTCTTCCGGTGTGAACTGCCTTCACTTCCTTGGCGTAATCTTCAACTAATATTGCACCTCGCCACAGGTATCGTAGCATCCCAGTCTGTACCCATCGGTACATAGACCCCGCGCTTCAAGCCTTTACGCCGCTGGGCGGGGCCGATCGGGCGCGTACACCTTCAACCGGCCCACCCCATCGCCTCAAGCGCTCTATGAAGAACCGCCATGTACTGTTCCATCACGGACTGGTCAATGCGCGCTCAGACGACAATGCGTTACTCTACTCCATCCATAGATGCAACGGCAAATGAACACGAGGGAAACGGTGTCTGGCTCGCGCTCGCTCGTATTTAGTGGGTCGGTAGTACGGATGCACGACAGTTGAAGAGGGTCTCTTATAGCACAGGTACGTGAGCGGTTCAATACCGAGAGTAGCCCTCACTGACCTCACCGTGTCACCGCGCCAGCTAGTTCACGCGACCGCTCGGAAGCCAATTTCGTGGTGTTACTTCTGTATTCGCCGCTGCGCCATGCCTCTGTGACGAGACGGGTGCTAACCCGGCCACCGTATAGCGGAAGTAGGCGGTGAGATGCGCTGAGGAGGACACGATCGGTCGTGAAGGTCCGGATTGAGATATATGTCGGTACGAACATACATTTCTTAGCGCAAGCTCTTAGCCTGACCTTGTACCTCTGCTTAGGTAACGTCGGATCACCTTTATATATCAATACATTACCACAGTTCGCCTAGAAGAATACCTCTCGTTTGATCTCGTTTGATGCCATGCCACGCGCACTGCTATTCCCACACCCGCAAACTCATCGAACGTTGCATATGATTCACATACAACAGGAAGCATATTGACACAGGAGATACATCAGAGGCAAGCGACAACCCCGGCCACTTAGGCCTAGTGAGGCCTGAGGCGCAACAAGTCCGACTCCACACACAAACATTCTATATCCCGAAATGCACGAACGGTGCCCAACGCGCGAACTGTTCATCCCCGACCTTCTTCCTCAACTTCTTCGTGGCCTCGTGCAGCGCATATGCCGCGCCCGTCTCTCCCTTCCCGGGCGTCCCCGACGCGCGAAGCTTGAGCAGCTTCCGATAGTACGCCTTGACAACGACTGGCGCGTCTTTATCTCCGATCGACCACATCGTGGCGACCACGCCTTTGTACCCCACGGCAAGCATGCCCGCTGCGAGGTGCATCGATTCCTCGGGTATCTTCTCGTCGCCGACGGCGGTCTGGCACGCGGATAGGAATGCGAGCTCTGCGTCGTCCGCCCTGGTGTTCATGAGGTCGAGGAGCGAGAGCGGACCGTCGTGCAGTGCGAATGCGCTCTGCAGAGGATCTTCTGTGTTCTGCGTACCGTGGCAAGCCAGGTGCAGCCAGGTGTGTTGGTTCAGCGCAGATCGTATGACAGCCTTCGACACTTTGTCCCCTGTGAAGAGGGAGGTGTCATACTTCGACTGCGCCAGGACCCCTCGCACACGTTCGCCTTCGACCAATGTACCTGGTATCGGGATGTACCCGGGGACGTCTGACTGCGTCACGACAAGTACACTCGGAGCAACAGGCGTGTCTGTGATTGTGATTGCATTGATGCTGCGCGTGAGCGCGGAGAGAGATGGGGTGTATGAGGAGACCACGAAGTCGTAAACGCGTGGCCCAGACTCTTCGTAATCCCCCGCTGCGTGCAGTGGCAGCTGAGTTAGAGGTCCAGTAGGACACCAGGTGATACGGGGAAGAGAGCCGGAGGGCGCTTTCTATGTAGTATGTCAGTGACTTTGCATATTGGGGAGCCGCAGAGAAACTCACGGGGCCGTATATAGCGAGGCCTTCCAGTATCGGTCGTACAATCCATCCCCAGATGCGGCCGAGGATATGACGAGGTGATATTGCTTTCTCAGCGTGGTGATCTGTTCTCGGGGTATCTCGAAGTGTGCCACGCTCACGAGCATCGTGTAGATCGAGATACGACGCCCACTGTGACCGGAGGTCCGTAGCCTTATCCGAGGAGAGGTCCGGTAATGCCACGACCTTGACTGTGCCATCCGCGAGTAGGATCAAGGCATCGCAGCGCACACGATCCGTGTTGATGAAGACCACAGGCCCGCCGAAACGCATAGACGAGGGAAGCAATGAGGGAAGCTTCTTGGGAAGCATAAAGTCCTGGAACCCTTCGAGTTTGCGAATATTCGAGAGTAGCTTTCCATGCTCGATGGCAAGGCCTCGTTGGATGTCTGCGCGGCTACGGCCCGAGCCTGTCATTGGGCCATACTGCTCATTCATCAGAACATCATCAAGATGGGATGGCGAACAGATTGAGTCCTGCATCCGAACGTGTACGTCGTTGAGAGCACGCGCTAGATCAGGGTGTTGTTCGAGATCGCGAAGTGGGCTACGCAGTATCAGTGTCTGGGACCATATGAGGGTTCTACCCGCTTCCAGCCATTCGACGGCTTGCGTCGTAGCATTGAAGCCAATGGCAGCACATACGGCAGCACTGACAAGCTGACCGAGTTCTTGAGACTCTTTCAGACGACGGTCCATGGTATGCCCAGGCCAAACAAACTCGGGGATGATATCGAGAATGCGAGAGTGCAACGGGATCAGTCTGTCAGATGTACTGAACTGCGTGTGCTCATGGATATGTTGAATGGCATGCTTGCATGTTTGCAGACGTAAGTGTGGCGGGACGTCTGGTCGTGATGTGGCAGCCATGAGACAGTGTAAAGCATTATCAAGAGCCTCCTCCGCATTCGATCTGCGGAATTCAGACAAAAGAATTATGCTCAGACTATTCAGCCTCCATGCCTTCTGGGAATTGTCATCAGGAGTCAGCTCGTTTGCACGTTGTTCGTACGCAATGGCTCTCTTGATATCTTCGAGCTCTCCAAAGTGTTTATAATGCAGCCACTGCAAAGAGCCGAGGTTGTCGAGCTGACTTGGCAGGCCGGGATGGTCGATCGGAGTAAGCTCGACAGCGCGGCGCTGTATCGTGATGGCGCGCTCAAGGTCGGCGGGGTCGTCGAGACGCTCGAAGCGTCTGCGCAGGGACGATGCGAGGTTGTGCAGCTGCTTAGCTTTGCCGGGGTGATCATCACGAATCAGCTCGTTTACACGATGTGTATTCTCAACGGCTCTCTCGATGTCTTCGAGCTCTCCAAAACGCTCGAAACGAAGGACCTGCAAGTATCCCAAGTTATCGAGCCTCACTGGCAGGCCGGGGTCGTCATCCGGAGTAAGCTCGACAGCGCGGCGTTGCGTCGTAATAGCCCGCTCAAGGTCAGAGGGGCCGGAGAGACGCTCAAAGCGGCTGCGTAAGGACGATGCGAGGGTGTGCAGCTGGTGAGCTTTGTCGGGATGATCATCTGGAGTCAGCTCGTTCCCACGCTGTCGATTCGAAATGGCGCTCTCGAGGTCTTCGAGCTCTCCAAACCGCTTAAAACGAAGGCCCTGTATGTACCCCAGGTTGTCGAGCCTCGCTGGTAGGTCAGGATCGTCATCCGGAGTAAGCTTGACTGCACATAGTTGCATTTCCATGGCGCTTGCGAGGTCGTCGATTGTGCCAAGGGATTCAAAGCGTTTTCGCAATGAGGCGCTGAGATTGTGCAGACGCAAAGCTCTGTGAGGGTGACCATCCGGGACGAGTTGTAGGGCTCTTTGCTCAGCCGCAATGGCTCGCTGGAGGTCATCAAGGTTTCCTCGAACGCCATAATATACACCTAGACAGCGCCCCAGCCGACCTAGCAGGTCAGCATCTGGTTCGGGCGCGTCGTTCACCGCTTGTTGAAATAGCGTTATGGCGGTTTTCAGTTGGGTCACGTTCCACGTCTTCTTGTAACAAGCGTACGCTTGCTTGGCCGCGGCCATAACATTCGGCTTTGAGCTTCCAGAGGATTGTGATTGTGCACGCGACAGGACCTGATGCTCGCCAGTCAGATCGGCAAGGGCCGGGTAGCACAGTATTCCCGTCGTCAGAGGACTCACATCCGAAGTCCCGGCGATGTGCCTTTTATTCGTACTGGGTTTATTACCCATCGTTCAGCAAGCAGTCTACGGCGGGAGATCAATAGTCTCAGTACAGCGACATCAATGAAAGAGGAGGCAGCTCACAGCGAGACGCGCGGTTGTGGGAACGGGAGGGGGAAGGAGAGTTATCCAACGAATTCGTCAGGAGGCTAGATGTATGAATTGCCGGTGGGAATGCTGGGACACCTTTAGTGCGTTGTACATGTGAGGGGGTCGCGTGCTAGTATAGCCTCACAGGCGGCTGTCGAAGAAAGCGACGCGCACATACGGCTGACTCTAGCAACGCGTCACAAGGCGTATACGATCTCGGCGACCGATGACGATTGGGAGGGCCCACACGGTAGGAATATATTGCACGATCTGGATGTACAGCGCAGGGAACATGCTGGCACGTAAAAAGCAGGCTGTGTACCAAGAGACGTCTGACACGATGTCAGTAGGCGGTGCATCGATACCGATCGCTACTCTCGACGTCTCCTTCCCATCGTTACAGCTGTTCCCGAAAACCTTGGGAATGAGCGCGTTTTTTTTGCGCGCGCGAACGAAGTGAGTTCGCGCCGAAAAAGGAAAGCCTCACC